AATTATCCAATACGAACCGCCAAATCTACAGTCCTCGTGGACTAGTTCGCTGCCGGTTCATTTCTATGTATTTGTTTTTTTTTTGCCTTTGAGAGTGACGCCAACTTAAATGTGTACAATATCGTTTACTTCGACTATAACTATTGCATTTATTGTAATGTTGGCATTTCAATACTCCACATCTTCTGAAGGAGTCGAAAACGAAACAGTAATGTACAGCTTATCCAAAGCCCACTTGCAGTATCACTCAATTCCACTCTTAGAGGAATGAATAGTTTGCAATGATTTATGTATTAAATCTTGTCCCATCACAAAGTTGACGTGTTTTTAGAATTTTGTAAAATGTTCTTGCGGTACGATTTTGATGGCCCGCTCTGAATATAGTAGATCATTCAGTCATATAGTACTGATTTATATAACCAGAAAAAAAAGAGTAAAAGGTCAGAAATCGATCGCAAACAATGTCGAAAGTGATACCGTCGGAATTAAATTTTTCATTGTATTTAATTCAGAGAGATTGGTCAAGGTAAAAATGGAAGTTTCGCATCTTCACTTCATTTCCAACTTTTATTTGTTTTATCGAGTCATTTATAGATTTTTTAGAGGAGTTAAGGAATGTTAATGAGTACGTGAGTCATTTGATTGCACTTTCATGTGCCTAGGATCATGTTGCTTGCTTTTTGAGATCTGAGATTCAAGAGTTTTAATTTGAAATTTAAAATTTGAGACTTAATTTTCATTCTTCAGAATTTGGATTCGTGATTTTATCGTGAAATTAAGTTCAAGTCCATAGCTTGAAAAATTCACCCGCGTAGATCCGCGGATATGGGGAGAGAAAGTAGGATACTGTACTTCTGGATAATGTACTGTTCTGATGAGGTAAGAAATATTAAAATCGTTTTACTAGTTCCACAGAATACCGATTTTAGCTAATCCATTTGACATCGTACGACTAGATAGAAAAATAAATTATTCACACTATTTTTTTTGTGACAACCATTCTGAACGGCTTACGGGAATATGAACTAGTAAAGCAATATTTGATGACGGAACTTCTGAAAAACAATATTTTAGTCACCACAAAATGGAACGATATAAAATACTGTAGGATAGTTCTGAGCGACTTCAGTAGCTTCCACTCTAGTGGAAATTAACTACTAATAACGAGGTACCGGTCTAAATGAATTAGTAAACCGGATGTGAACAACAAATTTGTTTTGAGAATAGTTTGTTCCGTTGATATTATGTCCGTTCGATGGAAGCATTCACATTTATTTGTAAGGATTGCCGACATCAAAATTGGAAAACCCTTATTGCTGATTGGTTAAGACAATATAAACTTGATTATAGCGAATGAATTGCACGTTTGCGAGAAAGATAATGGAGACAATAAAATAATAGGAATGGCGAGAAATTCACTTTCGACTGAATCTTTTGCGCCAAATCGTCGTTCTATGAATAATTTTGAACGAGACGGTACAACAATCAACATATGAAATAGGCTTTTTACCCTAGAGTAGAAATCGATCACTAGAGATGTCTTTGCGTTGAGAAGAACCGTTGATAGAATGTGAAACTGGAAAATAATGTTGTAACGAAATTGATAATAGGCACAAATGATATCTGCCACATTTCATAATTCATAACCCCAACAAACCAAATAAGATGGGATTAGTATTTGTTGCCGTTGAAAAATCCCATGGGTCCAGTTTGAATGAAAATTTGATGGCAGGATCAGATTTTCTGCAATCACTTGTAGCCATACAGTGGAACTTTCGAAATCGGCGGTATAGATTTTGTGGAGAAGTCCACGATATGTTTCATAGAGTTGGTATCAGAAAAGGAAACACATTCGCCCAGCTATTACTCTAGAACTTGGGGAAAGACAGAGATCCAAATAAATATGAAATGCCGGTCATAACATGTGACGCAACATGTTCTCCTGTGTGAAAAACTTTGTTCTCCTGTGTGAAAAGCTTCAATTTCCAATAATTTGCAATATTAATTTTAATCTCCAGTAATTTTTGCGTTGAGAAGAACCGTTGATAGAATGTGAAACTGGGAAAATGATGTTGTAACGAAATTGATAATACGCACATATATCTGCCACATTTTATAATTCATAACCCCAACAAACCAAATAAGATGGGATTAGTATTTGTTGCCGTTGAAAAATCCTATGGGTCCAGTTTGAATGAAAATTTGATGGCAGGGTTAGATTTTCTGCAATCACTTGTTGCCATACAGTGGAACTTTCGAAATCGGCGGTATAGATTTTGTGGAGAAGTCCACGATATGTTTCATAGGGTTGGTATCAGAAAAGGAAACAAATTCGCACAGCCATTACTCTAGAACTTGGGGAAAGACAGAGATCCAAATAAATATGAAATGCCGGTCATAACATGTGGCGCAACATGTTCTCCTGTGTGAAAAACTTTGTTCTCCTATGTGAAAAGCTTCAATTTCCAATAATTTGCAATATTAATTTTAATCTCCAGTAATTTCCAATGATTTTAACGTGTTGGGAATCACATGTTGAAAGGTAAGACCTCGTTAGTCCTTATCTCGCATAAGTATTCACTTTTGAAAGTTATCGTTCGCGACAGCTGGTTAACGGAAAACAGATTTTGACAGATTTTTTCAACAGATCCTGATACCTAAGGACCAATAGTCGAACATTATACGTTGATTTGAGAGACACGAAAGAAAAATCTTTGAAAATTATTCAAGATGTTCGCAACATACAAAAAATTGCATAGTTTTAATTCGTGAATTGGATGACGAATTCATTACTAACTAGAGAAAAATTGAACAAAATACTGTTGTCCAGTTCGATAAATATTCACGAATCATCAATGAGTATGCTGTTAGAACTCTGGTGGATTCTGAACAGAAATGACATTTAATTTAAACTAAATCGAAAAAACTCCGATTCGTGATGAAACAGTAGCAAAAAAGTGTCCCGAAATCGATATCATTATTTAGCTCATGAAGACTCATTGTTTGCTTTTCTATCAGAAGAAAGGTATTGATGCAGGATATATTGCATTACGGAATAGAATGAGACGATTATGAACTCTAAAGTTTTTTAGAAAACTTGGAGAAGATGGTGAAAGGTCTTTAGAAAATGTTAGCTGTTTCTTAGTATTTCAATGTTTTTTCTTACCTTTTCTGAAATTTATTGCCTTTTTTATTTCATTGCGTTTTATGCACTTTTGTGCATTTCCTTGAGATTTTTGCACTTTTGTTTTTTCTTGGGTATTTTGCGTTTTTTCTGTTTTTGTGTTGTCTTTGGATGTCTTGTGTTGTCTATAAGTGTTTTGGTCTTTGTGTGTTTTGTTTTATGGCCTTTTTTGCATCTTTAGCGTTTTTCGTATTTCTTGCATTTTTTCAGGTATTTGAGTTTATGAGTATTTTTTGTTTTTTTGTGTTGTCTATGGGTGTTCTGTATTCTTTACCGTGTGTTATGTATTGTATTTGGCTTTTCAATTTCTCCATTTTTTTTCATTTTCTGTGTATTTCTCGTTTTTTTTTCTATTTTTGAATTGTGCGTGTTTTGTTTTATATGTGTTGTTTGTGTGCGTTTATTTGTGTTTTATCTTTTTTTTTTGTTTTTCTCTGTTTTCGAATTTTGCGTGTTTTGTTTTTTATGTGCTATGTGTGTGCGTTATTTGTGTTTCATCCTTTTTTGGCGTTTCAGAAGATTTTTGCATTTTTGCATTTTCTGTGTTTCTTGCATTCATGCGTTTTTAGCGGTTTTTTCGTATTTTCTGTGTCTTTTGTATTTTATGTGTTGTCTATGGGTGTTCTGTATTCTTTGCTGTGTGTTATGTGTTGTATGTGGCTTTTTAATTTTTCCATTTTTTGAGTTTTTGATTTTTTTCGTTTTGTGTATTTTTCGTTTTCTTTTGTTTTTGAATTTTCCGTGTTTTGTTTTTTATGTGCTATGTGTGTGCGTTTATTTGTGTTTCATCCTTTTTTGGCGTTTCAGAAGATTTTTGCATTTTTGCATTTTCTGTGTTTTTTGCATTGATGCGTTTTTAGCGGTTTTTTCGTATTTTTTGTGCCGTTTGTATTTTATGTGTTGTCTATGGGTGTTCTGTATTCTTTGCTGTGTGTTATGTGTTGTATGTGGCTTTTTAATTTTTCAATTTTTTGAGTTCTTGATTTTTTTCTTTTTGTGTATTTTTCGTTTTCTTTTGTTTTTGAATTTTCCGTGTTTTGTTTTTTTATGTGTTATGTGTATGCGTTTATTTGTGTTTTGTCCTTTTTTGGCGTTTCAGAACATTTTTGCTTACTTGCATTTTTGGTTTCTTGCATTCATGTGTTTTTAGCGGTTTTTTCGTATTTTCTGTGTCTTTTGTATTTTATGTGTATTTTATATTTTATGTGTTGTCTATAGGTGTTCTGTGTTCTTTGCTATGTGTTATGTGTTCTTTTTACATTTTTTGTTATTTTTGTCGGTTTTGAAGTTTTTGCATTTTTAAGGTTTTTTTGAGTTTTCTGTGTACTCTTCGGTTTTTTGTTTTTTTAAAGTTTGATTTTGATTTTTGTGTTGTGTGGTTTGTATAATGTGATGCGTATGCGTTTATTTATGTTTTACCTTTTTTATGCGTTTCGAAAAATTTTTGCATTTCTAAGGTTTTTTATTTTCTGTATTTTTTCATTCTTTGCGTTTTTTCAAGGTTTTCGCATGCATGCGTTTTCAGCGGTTTTATTTCGTATTTTCTGTGTTTCTTTAGTATTTGAGTTTTCGGCATATTTTTTGTGTTTTTGCTGTATGTTGTTTTGTGCTATGCGCGCTTTTTTGGTTATTAATTTTTTGCATTTTTTGTTCGTTTTAACTTTTTTATTTGCAGAACAAGTGGATGTTATATAAGTCTTTTGTATCGCGTCGTTGATTTACGTAGTGTGCTAAACAGTAAGAGCCCCAGATGTGTTCCCTGGGAGACACCTGAGGGTCGTTGAAATACAAAATACGTTCATCAATCGATCATTACCTTTCGTCTTTGGGATGCGTCTCGAACGTTTGCTTGCTCAATTCCATGATGGACGTCTCGCTCTGCGGCTCGGCCGAAATACCCGCGCGCTGCTTCCTCGGCCTGAGCCGATTGTTCAACGCGACCGATTTCGGGCTGGTCGGGTTGTGCATCTTGAACACGCTCTGGAACTTGTCGAGCTGCGATCGCAAATTCAATATTTCGGTGTCGCGCTGTTCCAACGCACTCTGCAGTTCGCGCACTTTCGCATCGCGGAGTACTTCGCGGTCGATTTCCTGCAGCTGCCGCGTCAACCTCTCGATCTCCTCATCCTTCTGGGCTATCAGAGCCTGGAACAAAATGAAATCATTACAGAGCAGATTCTTGAAAAAAATAATAATGGAGCAATTTTGGGAACTATAGTCTGTTCAGAAATTAGAGAAACAACAGTATATTCATATATATTATTACCGTAGGCGCACTGCATTCTAAACTTTTACTCTCAAAAGTTATTCTTGAAAAATCTCAGTCATAACAAACAAAATAACAAATCAACTACAACAAATGTGAAAATATGTCCAATTAAATATTCAGTTGAAGAGGATTGAAAAACATTATTTTTTGAAGGCGGTATAAATGGATAATCCTTTGAATTATACCGTCAACAGACACACTGCACCCATCAATAGGACCGACTTGGCTTTTTCCATGGAAAGAAAATGTTATATTATTTTCTGTTGGGAGTTTAAAGGCCCATGGTAGAGGGGTTATTCTTAGTGATATTCTTCAGTTTACTTCGAGAGCGCGTTGAATAAAAAAGCTTTATAACATGGAAGCTAATTGTTCGGGAACCGTGAAGCGTCCGAAACTGTCAGCATTAAATATATCAGAATCAGAATATGCTTTATTGNGTACTTTGCGTTTCTGTCATTGGAATTTAGGTGAAAGTTGGAATTGAAGTCACCACAGATAAATGCCATTGATTGATATTTCATAGACAATGATGGCGTGAATTAAATCGACTTCATAATTAAGTTAACAATTTTCAATTTTGTCAAATGAAAATCGATACTAGAGAAAAAAAATTTGAAACCTTTTTTGTAGATTGACGAAATATAGATTTTTTCGCTAGATGCGGTAGTTTTCGAGTTATTTGTAAAAAGTGCGAAAGAGGCACCTTTGGCATCCCTCCCCCCCGAAACTCTACTCTTACCTCCACCTAGTAAATTGCCCAGACTGCTCTTTCCTACATCAGTACTAATTTTGGTTTCTGCACTATTTTTTTAGTGACTTTGCATTCGTTGGTTGGAATTTATTACCACTGATAAACTTAAACCAGCAATATTTGGTATTTGGATCCATGAATGCAACAATTTTGAGTACTCGATTCATCTAGGTTAGGTAATTTGTAGAAAATACAATTACCAACCGATATTTTGGGGTGGATTTATGAAAAATTGAACTGGTTTCATAAAATAAAAGAAAGAGTTGATTGAGAGTAGGGCAGTTTTAAAATAATGTGACGTTGCTCTGTTGTGCAACCTATATGTTCTTTATACGTATAAACTTGTTTAGTTCTAGAAAATCTAGGTTATCTTCTCCATTGTTTTCAAATATGAATACAAAATTGAAAAATATTTGGAATATTACTTGTTCTCAGTTTTATTGGTAGAAAGGTATGACGGTATGAAAGCACTAACGAAAAATCTATAGTCGTCATATCGGAAAGTCTAGCGGGTCATTCTAAGGGACCGGGTTTGACCATCTAGTGTTTTATCATCTATCCACTTTCCACCCTGCCTGTCGTAATGAAGAGGTACCTCATCTTGCTGGAACGTAACATCAGTTGAAAACTTATTTTGGTTGGTCAATTATCCAAACCGGTAGACAAGAAGATGTGATCCCTTAGAATAGCCCACTTAATTACCTGACATGACAGCTCTAATGTTTTTTGAGGAGATGAGATACATAACCATAATTCGTTCAGTTCGTTTCAGAACTTGTGGATTGAAAATAGATGTTTGCAACTAAAGTATATGCATATCAAAGTTTTGGTGTAGAAACAATTGGCATTATGATCAAATCAGTAGAAGAAGTATCTGGTTGGTTAATTCAACGAAAAAATCGAAATAAGTAGCTACTTCTTTTATTCATGACTTTATTTTATTTGTCGTATCAGTGAAATTCGATTTTCAATAGATTTTGTATTGACACAATACAGGGTGTAACTAAATTAGTGTAAAACATTTAAGAAGGTGATTACTCATCGAAAAAAAGATAGGATATTTCATATAAAGAAATTTCATCGGAGCATCCCTTGTTAAGATACAGCCCCTTAAAGGGGGTACATAAAATTTGTATAACAATTTTTTCACAAGCACTAAAAAAGTTACGATATTGAAATTAACCTGACGTTTTGTACTACCAAAAAGACACTTAGCCAGAAATTTATTTGGTTTACCCCATGGTTGTAAGGGGTGGAAAACGCAACCCCTAAAATTTATTTCCAATGTAACTTTTTGTCTTATTATTTGTTTANTTGAGCAAAAAACGTTAAGTGTCTTTTTGGTAGTACAAACGTCAGGTTAATTTCAATATTGTAACTTTTTCAGTACTTGTGAAAAAATTGTTAAACAAATTTTATGTACCCCCTTTAAGAGGCTGTATCTTAACAATGAAGTTTCCTATATGAAAGATCCTATCTTTTTTTCGATGAGGAATCACCTCCTTAAATGTTTTACACTTATTCAGTTACACCCTGTATAATCCAAAACGACGTTTTTTTTGTAATGAATGGTAGCGGTTTTCACTATTATATTGTAGTCAGCTTCACTTGATATTAAGTGTTTGATTTATTTCAATGGGCTCATACATTAAAAAAGTTATGTCAATTCAAAAACTCACATAAAATAAAAAATACCATATAAATATGTTCAGTTGATTAAGCAAAAAGTTTTGTTGGCTATATTTATAATTGATTAATAATTTTTTTCACATTTTCACCAGAAGAATAGAAGAAAATTTTGTTACTTAATAATAAAATTATAATTTGTGATAGAACTTTTTGAAGAATAGATGATATCTAGAAATAAAAGATTGAACCAGAATCAGTTGCTTTACTCAATATTCCTGAAAGGACAAAAAATCCCCAAATAGTATTACAAAAATATTCTTGAAAGGAAGTTTAATCGTCCCTTGTTTGTCTATGACTCAAGTTAACAATGCTCGGAACGATAGTTGTGGAAAACAATCTTTACCGCGTAGAAGTTTGTGGAAGAATGTTACATCATTTCGGAAACATTTACTTTTAAGTGGAAAAAATGGAACGTTCTTACTATAATGCCTTCAACTTGGAAAGCCCCGTTTAATTTTGATATTTTATTATCTACTAGTTTTGAACTTATTTACTTCAAAAATACTTTGTGGTTTGAATATGAAGGACTTTTTGAACTGAGGTATACTGAAGAACTGACCCTATAGTATGATCTTATAACACAGTATGATACTGACCTTATAGTATGACCTTATAATATAGAAGGTACTGCTGTAGGTTTCAACTTACTGATAAGATATATTTTGAGAGTATGAAACATAGAAATATGATTTGGGAAAGAAAAATTCATTTCAAAAATAAGTACAGAACATCAATCTCGTCAAGTCAAAAATTTACATTTCGATTATAAACTTCCATTATTTCTTATTTGAACTAATAAGACTGGGTTTCTTTTGACTTCAGTTATTATTGCCTACAATATCGCAAAATATACTTAGATTTTGAATTCACTTGAATAAGTAGCAACCTAAATTTCACTAATTCATGGAAATGAACTCTTATTTATTTTCATTTCTTCAATTGTATTAGTGAATTCATCAGACACATATTGATAGATACTCGTATTACAATTATCATTAAAATCATCTATTTAGTATGACAGAAGTATCAATAAAACACTTTACGAGATAAGCTAATTTCATCTAACAAAACTTTCAAAGACGATATCATTCACCGCAAAAATGTTTTTGAAGATAAAGCATAACCTATAGATTCTGAGAAGAAATCAATTCAGTAAATATTCAACAAAACAAACAGCAATAACAACCTCAATCATCAGCAGAACCTCTATAACTATAATCATAACTTCTACAACAGTCTACATCTGTGAATGTGATATCATACTTTCCCGATCTTTCTAAAAAATAAGATGGATCAGTTGCAAATTTGATTTTCCAACAGTTTTCAGAATTCGAAGTGATGAAAGATCTTAATAATAATAACAATAATAATAATTTATCGAGAGTAACTATTAAAACTCGTCAACGATGTAGCAATTTCTCTCAATGAGATATTTTTTCAATTGTCTTTTGAATATGCATATATTAATTGAGTCCTTAATAGAAGCATCTAGCTTGTTATATAGTTTGGGTCCAAGGTATAGGTGACTCTTCTGATACAGAGAGGTTCAGTGGGGAGGAGCTATTAGCAACCCTCTAGCTCTAGTTGCATAATGGGTGGTTTTGTTGGTTTGCCCTAAACTTTTTTCTATTCTTATAAGCGTAAAGACACATCTCATATATATAAAGACCAGCAACTGTGAGTATTTCCAGCTCTTTGAATGAGTTTCTGCATGAGTGTCGCAATTATTTTGACTGCGCGCTTTTGTGAAATGAATACTCGTTCAGCTGAGGAGCTCATACCCCAATTCAAGATTCCATATATTTTGAGAGTTTCAGTGGTGTTCTGCATCGAGAATTTTACTAATGCTGTTTTGCTGATATTTAGTGCTAACTGATTTTCATCAGCCCATTTTATTATTTTCTCATATATGGATTCTGTCGTTTCTACAAGTGCTAATGTATTATGATCAGTGACCAGAAATTTGTATCATCTGGATATTTAGGAATTGTATCAAGTTGTTCCCATAAATAAGAAACAGCAGTGGTCCGAGTATAGACCCCTGTGGAACCCCTTGCTTGCAGGCCAAGGACTGACTGGGAACACCTTGGGTTCTCACTGTTTGTGGCCTGTTTTCTAGATAGGACGTCATCCGATCTTGGGCAACCCTACGAACCCCATAGCGATGTATTTTCTGGATTAGTGATCAACACAGTCAAATGCCCTAGAAAAATCGATAAACAAACCACAAATTTAGTTTGCTATCCAAGGCTGTTACTATGTGTTGTATGAAATCATACAAAGCTGTTTCCGTGCTTTTATTTTACATGAAACCGTGCTGGTTTGTCGGAAGAAGTCCATTTTTGAGAAAAAATGATAGAAACTGATTTTTAATATTCATTTCGTATGACTTGGATATACTAGAACTTCTCTATAGTTCTCAAAGCTATTTGAGTT